ATTTCACCAACAAGTTTAATGCTTGAGGTATAATCAATTATATAACTAAAATCGTCCATTTAAAAATTTTGCTTCTTTCTTCTTTGCACCTCAGAAATGGCAGAAGTTAGACTTGAACAAGTTGTAGATTATGTTCTCTCGATTCATTATCAACAATTTTTATGCGTATTGTTATTTTCTATCATTTTTTTTAGTTATAATCGGTTATGATATCAAATCGTTAATTTTGAATTTCTGGACATTTCTGCCTAGTACCTAAGACATGGCCACAGCAATGATTGAACTGGTTGCGGATTTTACTTTATTGGTTCTTTATAAACAATTTTTGTGTACTCAATTTTCTTTCATCACTTCTAGTTTCTGAGTTAGAATCTATTATAATAACCGTAGTTGTTCATTTTAGGACTTTCTGCTTTCCACTTAAGAAATGGCAGTAACTATGTTTCAATTGATTATGAACCATTTCTTTGCATCACAAGGTTTCCTCCATAATTTTAGTTCTTTTTATAATCAGTTTTCATTACAATAATCGTCAATTTTGAGTTTCTGGACATTTCTGCCTTGTACCTAAGACATGGCCATAGGAACGTTTGAATTGGTTATGGATTTTACTTCATTAGTTCTTCATAAACAATTATTGTTCAATTAAACTGCGGTTATCAATTATAATAACCGCAGTTGTTCATTTTAGGACTTTCTGCTTTCCACTTAAGAAATGGCAATAGCTAAGTTTCAATTGATTATGATTTAATTCTGCCTTCTTAGTCATTTCTAAACATTTTTCAGCACCTTCCTATTTTATAAGTTTTAAGTGATTTTAATAATAAAAGCTATTCAAAATAGTTACAATCTCTAAGTATACGATCATTCTTCCCAGTTTAACTTTTATAGCATAAAAAGAATGTGAATTACAGCAAAAAAAACTTTATTTTGTAAACATACAAGAATTTTACGAGTGTTTTATGGAGATTATTTTAAACCCATTACCTCTGGGAGGAATAGAAATGAAAATTTATTAGGGAAATCCGAACGATTCTCACGTTTTGCAAAGTTTAGGAAGTTATTAAAGTTCTTGTTGGAATTTCTGACCTTGATACTAGTTATACAAACTTTTATTGTTTGACTACATAATAACGCTTGCGAGCTTTTGCGATAACCAACAATGGTAAAAACAATTATGTATATTTTCTTTCCTTTGAAAATCGATAGACGTATTATTTCTTTAGTAATTTTATTCCATGTGATGTCTATGTTTAGTCTGTAAATATACAGCTACAATTCGTTATTCCTTGTTAGTTTCGAGCTCTTCGTAGAGGAGAAAAGCCCGGAGGCGATCCCCGTTGCATTTTGATCAGGTGCAGGCCAACAACTTCATTCCTTCGGGTGACAGTTTGTAGCCTCCACCGCTAACGAAACGAGACGAATTTGTTAGTTTATTTGCATTGAGTTAAAGTGGTGGGGTCCCACAAATGTCACCGTTTATAAATAGGCCATTGTCAATGCTATACTCTCCTTGGCCGCCCTGAAGGAAGAGCGTTAACGATCCAGAAGAAACAAATACGCGTTACTGGGTCGATGACATCCACCTTTATACTCAAAGCTAGATCTTAAAGACGAGGAAACCGGCTGTTAACTTCGGAATACGAACGACTCGTATATTTCTATTTGTAGGATTCAACTAAAACTAAATCGAACATCCGCCCGTCTCAACGTTTCTACAATTAGTATGTGTACCAGTTTAAATGAAACGCCATTTCTAATTGAAGTGTAAAACGCCATCAAGTGATCCAAATAATTGAAGTAATGAAGTTGTTCTCGATGTGTATTCAAAATCAAAATCTTACCAATTACTCTGAGTAAATACAATCGTTTCCGGTTCGTTAATCACTGCTCCGAGACGTTCATTAGCTTTACATTTGTCGATTGCATCCGAGTCGATCCAATGAATACAAAACTGTTTCTCATTCTCTCGATTCGTGATGTAACTTGGCGCGTTTTATCACGTCTTGTTACAGTTTTGGTTTTGAAACAATAATGAATTGCATTTCATTCCATAAAAACAGTTTAAATAGACTATGAGACGCATAGATAATGGGTTTTTCGTCTATAAAGTGTATTGCGTATCGATTCAACGTCGTCCCTTATTCTGTGTCGAAGTACGCTGACCTTTACGGTCGTCCCTTCCGTTAGTGTTCTTCGTTTCATGAGGAGATTAACAGTTGCGTGTTTGTCCCGTTACCTATAAAAAATGCAATGTATCGAGAGTATCAATCGATTTTTAACGATTTAAATCTTTTAAATCATAATTGTCTTCCAAAACGAAAAAGCAAAAAGAAAAAATGAGTAGGACAGAAAAAACTTTTTTGTGATCGTTTTTTTTGAGTCGGGTTTAAGATGTGTTCGCGATGTAGTAAGTGTAGTAGAGAAGAAGAAGAAGATGAAAGGGTTGGTGATGAAGAAGTTTGTTCAGGTAAATAAATTAGATTAAATTAGTTTACATTTTTGGCATACAAAATTTAAATGCTCAACACAGCAATAACACCTTCCGTATGTAATGAATCGTTCTTGGGATATTTCGTTGTAAACTGCGACATCTGACATGGTCATTTATTAGATGAAACCCCCGCTTTTCTAGGTAATTCTGTTCCGAAATGCTTCCGTTGTTGTTAGCTTTACATATAATGTATGACTATATGCTATATTCATTACATTGGAAACGAGAGTAGCTCTTGTGCCGTTATTAACAAAGTTTATTAACAACATCAACTCCGCCTTTTGTTTCATTACAATCTAACATGATTTGCGGTTTGCCAGTTACTTCATCAATGTCGTCGTAAGAAAGTATAGTAGAGAGTATAAGTACGTTTTTATGTTTTCGAGAAATGATGGAACAAGTTGCTTGTTCTTGGAATGCGAACATACTTGTACACTTAGGTCATTTTATTTACACAAATACTGGTGGTATCTGTCTTGTATTTTTTGGTAGTATACCTATTATTGTAAGTTTATGATCATTCTACGAGTTGTAAATGTGTGGTCATAAAAAAAGTTTCAATCGTAGTTTATGTGTATGCTTATGATATTGGAAAGTGTTTTGAAAATAAGTTACAATCATTCGTCATCTCAATTGTAAGCAAACTGACCGAAAAAGGACAGCTGTAGGGTTGTATAAGCTGATGTCTTATTGTTGGTGGCTTCTCTTTCTTCTTATCTCTTGCTGATGATTCCTACATAATATTTTTCGTTATATAGTTCTCAAAAATGTTACAATCATTTAAATGGATTTCGTAGGATATTAAAAAGTATTTATATTTTCTTTATATGTATGTCTAAGGATTGTGAGACAAATGTCAAAACATCTCTAGAGAATTTATTAGACGAATTTTTAGGCATTTTTAAAAGGTTTTTAATAAGTTCTGAGGTTTTGCCAATGATATTGATATTAATTTATCTAGAAGATGTCTAGAAGCTTCTAAATGATTCCGAAAATGTTCTCAAACGATTTTCAGATAAATTTAGATGAACCTAAGCACTAGTTAGGTCCTTCTAAGTAGATCTTTAAGAATTATCAGAAACTTTCTAGGGATATTTAGTGATTTCCATAACTTATTGGAAGTTCCAGGTATTTCTAAGAATTTCCAGAGATATTTTTATGGCTTTCTGAAGAACTTCTAAGACTTGTCAGGGATATTTAAGTATTTCTGTATGTAGTGGAGGTTTCTAGATATTCTACAGTTTACTTTCAAAGGGTTTCAATTCAATTCAATATAGATGATTAAGCTTATCCAAAGATTTGCAAGTATTTCTAACGATTTCCTGCTATTTTTAACAACTTTTATGAAAAACCCAGGAAAGCTCGCGATATTTTACCTTTATTTACTGTACATCTTTACAAAATGGGATCTCTCATTTTAAATAAACTTATCTTGTTTGTCAAGAAGAAGCACTTAAATTTTTAGGGACTTGCCTTTGATAAATAAATCTGTATCAACAGTTACAAGGTAGGAAAATAATCCAGGAACATTTTGCACATAATTTTATATACCTTAAATCTAATTAACGTTATTTACTCAAAAATATGGGGAAATTAAATTTACTCTAATTTACACGCCAAAAGCTCTTTTAATAACTAGGCGGCAGAACATAATTTAATAATAAAAGGAATACTAGTCTGTAGTAAAACTAGAAGGTACTTAGAAGCTAAATTAATTAAAAAATATATTTAAAAGAATTTTTTGGTCGTAACTAAAAAGCTAAGATCTTCAATAAAACTGTATTCTTATTAATAATATTAATTATTGTAATTAAAGAGGCCATGCAAATTTTGTTTCTACAGAAAATATTCGTGTTGCGCACAAAAATAACAAAGTAGAATAAATTTTCTAATAACAACCTCCAAGTAAAGAAAGTTTCGAACTCGGTTTATACTTCAGCATTCCGAAAAAGCTAATAAAGCGCTTACAACAAACTTAGTTTAACCAAACTTTGTAAACCTTCTTTACATCTTCGTTATTCCCCATACACTCGTGTTATTGACTCAACCTCTCGTTATCTAATTTATTATAATTTTATAATATACTTTTATTTATAAAAAAAGTTTTAAACAAGTATTACTATCTTTTTATCTAAAGTGTTATTTTTGGTCGATTTCCTCTTTACTGCAATAAAAAGAAGGAAAACGATTGGATAAAATTGGATACCTTTTTCAGTGCCTGTCAAATAACTCCCTCTTTACGGGTGAGTCCTTAAAGGAACAGGAGAAAAAGGCACTAAATAGAAAAAAAAAGTCCAACAGGCTCTGTGACAAGAAGAGAAATTTATTACACTTGGGATTATATAGACTAAAATATCCCCACCGGTAGCGTGAGTTGTATATATTTTCTTTTGGGCATGAAGACGCTGTGGTTATGCTCTAATTGAATTTATTTCCTCGAAGACAACTTTAACATCGACGACGTTTTTATTTAAACATTTTTTTTACGTTGTCGTTTCATTTCCAGAGGAAGAGTGGAACGCCGATGGTAAACCGGGACGCGGAATTCCAGGCAGCGAATCAGGTGAGTTTTCAGTTCAAACTTAAAAAGACAAGAAAAACAAATTAAAAAGTAAAGAAATGATAAAGATAAGAAAAGAAAGTCGGGGACGAGAGTGAGAATTTTAAATTTCAAAACTTGTTGGTATCAAATTATCTCCGCTAATTGAATAACTCGAGAACAACGCCCCGATTCTCGGTAATTTGAATCTTGAAATTGAAAAGTTGCCACTACTATCGCGACCCCCATTACGAACAAATTCAATTTGAACCTTTTGTTTTCGCTGTTCAGTTTACGCAACCTGGCGTAAAATAAAAAGACGCCCCCTTTTAAACATTATTAGAGTTGACTAATGACTTTATTTTATCTATAAATTTAAAAATAAATCTTAAAAATTCAGTTTCGTTTTAAAAATGTGTCAGCACTTTAAAAATAATTTTTAACGTTGTAGTTCATTTTTATTACCGAAACATCCATGTCAAATATAAATTAACACATCATATAATTAAAAGTTTAAATTTTATTTTTAACTACACTAAAAAAGTGTTATTTTTAAAAATACCTTTTAAAACTCCATCTATCGGTTTCAGGAGGTACCGCTATCGATTTCAGAAAAGATGTGCATCGAGCAAACGGTAGCGGCCTCTATATGCTTCAACTAAAACTTTTAACGTAACACATTTAAATTACTTTGTCGAGAGCCTTTTTTTATCAAACTAGAACACACTCGAAAAAGATATTTTTTGCATACATTAATATTAAAATCGAGGTTAGAGTTCCATTACTTAAATACATTTAGATTAGAACTGAGCAAGCAAAAAATGTTTCAAGTACAATATTTTAAGAATAATTTTTTTAAAACTTAGTTATTCTTTATGAGAATTTTTATAATAATAAACGAATAATAATAAAAGAGTTTATATATGGCCCAGTTTTGTGGGCCTCAATAGATGGGGAATAGCGTTGCGTTGGATTGGTGTTTTGGAAAGATATTGGAAAATATGACCCTATATAAAACCACCCCAAATTTCGTGACGTTGCGAATCGGATTTTTATGAGGTCACAAAACTGGACTTTGTGAACCGATATTGTCTAGGTTATATATCATTCATCTATTTTGCAACGGTTTTATGATTTTATTAAAAAGTAAAAAAACATTATTAATTCTTTTTGGTTTCAAAATAAAAATTTGTTACAAAAATCTATTTCAGAAATCATAAAATTTGAAATTTCATCTCTCTACCATTAGATTTAGGTAATATGTGGTGTTAATTTAGACACTAAAAAGTTCCTCCTAATCTAAATAATTCATTCTGCGGAGTTCGCTGAATATTTTTATATCCATCTAAAATAATCAACTGCTTGGCATCTTCCGATATGTTGGTCGTGCAGAATTTCCAGAACACTTCGTCTTCACTGATATGGAACGATAACTCAAATACATTGAGAGGATTCCTTGCCCATTCTCTTCTGATAATATCAGTATATTTTACTTGATTCCTTTTTGACGTTTTGCAGTAGATTTTTGGCAATGTTAATTTCAGTTATGTCATCTGTATTTGAAATTGTGTTTCCTTTTCTATACATAACGTTGTAGATGTTAGCTGCTAAAGTGAGTACACATTTCTGTAACAAAAACGTCAAAATTGTTGGTTTTGGTCCATGCAAATTGTAGAGACTCTATCATGAAGGTATTTTTGAATTTTTCTTAAAGCAAAAATTATTTTCAGTGTCTCTTTCTTAATTGCTGAGTAGTTCTTTATGTTTCCAGCACCGCATGTATACTGCCACGCATCACCCCTAATAATCAATGGTTGATTTATATAACTATACCAGAGATATACTTTCTGCTATCAATCCTATGTTTTCATTGATGAGATTTTGGTGTTCTAGTATTTATTTATTTAATTATTATTGCCTCCAGTGGATTACAATATATAATTAACATAATATTAATATATAAAATAATAAGATCTTAGAGGAGACGTAGGGAGGCTCCCCCCTCCCCATCCTCCGTCCTATATCTATTGGCCCTCCTACAATACCACACCTAAATCTGGCCACCAACCTCTTTCCCTCCTCATCCCCCTCTACCATCAAGTACTTCAGCAGCCCTTCTATTACAATCTCCCCATATTTTGAGTTATAGCTACTATCTCTTATCTCTGTCCTTCCCTCTTGTATTCCCACATCCCTATCCCTGCCCTTCAGTTGTCTGCACATCACAATCTCCCTTGTTTTGGGATTCTGATACTCCATTGACAATAATTATCTTCAAACCGAAAAATAATTTTAATTACGAAACTGTTTTTCAGTTCTGGCAATTACACATTTCTCCACTTTCTATCAAGTATCGTTACAATTGATTGCCTACGTTTATTATATTGTCTTCTACTTAACTAACTCTGGTCTTCAGATAGTAGTTTTCTTTGAATTAAACCTATTTCGAAGACGTCTGTGCAAAAACTTTCCAAACTCTACTAGCTTTCCGATAGTGCTCCTAAGACTAGAGTTTACATAAATTCAACTGTCACATCAAATTCCATTCACAGAGCAAATTTTGATATTAAGGTTGCTCAAAATTATCGATATGACAAGGGTGCAGAAAGGATTTTTAGATAATATTTTAATAATAATTTTAAAAATGTCATGTGTCCTGTGGTCGTAGCTTAAAATTAATCTTTTTGGAGGAAGCTAGGTAGACAGGTCTATTTGGAAATTTTGAAAACTGCCAAATGCTCTCAGTATTATAATTACCAATACGGTTTGAATCACGTGTGCGTAATTGATCGTCCTGCAAATGTTGTTTTCAAGCAGATCATCGTGTTGTTTTGATAGGCTGCACATGTTGTTTTTAAATTGTATCACATTGAAATTCAAATTATGGCATCTCGGGATATATACTTAGTTTCCTTCTGAATCTCTACTTGTCTAAATATAATCTTGCAATTTTTCTAGATTTTTGGACACATTTTGACTGTCGAAATCACCGATGTACAACACTACGTACTATATACAATATGATTTTAAAGTCTTGTACAATATTTAAAATGCAAATTAAGATACCAAGTTGATAACTGAGATACGGAATTTAAATATAATGAGAAAAACAATAATAAAATCACATTAGTATGGAATTTGCTCTGTTTGTATGGTTTAAAGAGAATCTTCCAGACTACTGATCTCTGGAGTCTTAAAGTTCACGATTTTGATTCAAAAATCAAATTGGACAGTTACGGCAAAAGATTGAGTGGTAACTTTTCTGCTTCGATAAAATACAATTCCAACGTTTTCTCTTTAAACTTGTCTCCTGATCAACTATATGGCAGAGATGAGTTCTTTTTTGCAATATGATGCGTGACTATGACATACTCAAATACAAGTTTCAATTTAAAGATTGTAATGCGATGACGAATTCTTCGCCCATTATTATTTAATATTTCCATGGTTTTGAATCATTAACGAAACCTTTCAACATATCGCCTTATCAAATAACTCATCAAAACACACCCTTAATTTACATAAACCGCTCGATAATTGCACCTAACGCACGTACGATAACAGCAACAAAAAATAATCCTGACCCAACCTATTTCTTATTTTTTATCACAACTTTCATCCCCACTATATCCCCCCACCAAACGTCCATACAAGGTTCGGTTTCATTAATAAAACTTTTCTTCCCTTCCCTTTCTTCTTCCCCCCACTACTCATTCATTCTTAACCCATCCATCCATCAAATCATCAGTCCGTCTTCTTCGTTTTTATCATTTTCTCTTTCTCTCTTCCTACGTTGTCTGGTACAACTAGAATATTACAATAGAGTTGATTCTTTTCTGTGTTGGCCCTTCTGGGGGACATCAACAGTAGAATAGCGGACGTCGTCGTCGGAGCGCCGCCGTCTGGTGTCAATAAACAGAGGCGCTCGAAACGACGCCGCCGATCGTATATTGTTTGGCTGACTTGCGCCATGCCGCCTACTCCTATGTATGAAGTAATCAAAGAGGTACGTTCTCGTATCACGTCGCTATTCAGTTGCGGGGCGCGTCGTTGATTTTGTCGACGTCGGGCGTCGCGACGCACATTGCCTCCCTCGATTATTATTATTCACCGAGAACCAGCGTGTCGTGCGTGTGCGAATTTAAGTGTCGTTTCGACTTAGATGTAAAAAGAAAAAGGTGGTGAATGTATATTTTTATAAGCAACAAAGAAATGTAAAGAATTTTTATAAAGTTATTTAGTGAGTGCTATTTATTAAAAGGATTTTTTTGGATTTCATCTATATTGTGGTAATGATTGATTTTATTTTAAATTTTTTTTTAATTCCATGAATTTATAAAATTTAAAGAGATTACTTAATTCGACAATTTTATTAAGGTTTGATTTAATGAAAAATTAAAAAAATAAAAATTAAAATTTTAATGTTATTGAGTTATTAAGAAAGTTTTGTGGTTACTTTTATTTATGGGTTCCAAGTTATGTTTCTCGCCCAGTCTTGAGAGAGCCAAAATCGATAGTTCCCTCTATAAAATGCTCTTGTATAGATGTATAGATATGGATCGAGGGGGATTCGTAAAACGTATTTAAAACGAACCATTTGACATGGACTGATAGCGACAAACTTTACTGTTTACCTCATTCTTTATTATAGACGCGTCGTCGCAATCCGTTTTAAAATAGGTTTAATTATAGATTTTGTAGGCCGTGACTAAAAATGCGCAAAGAACACTTCTTATTACGACACGCTACGCATATTATTTTTAATAAGGTTTAAAGTGGCGATTAGTTTTAATAAAATTCTATAATTAACCGTTAGATCATTAGAAATTCATAGAAAATCTACATCGTTTTAAATCAATTCGAAGAGATTAAATTAAAATTGGTTATCTAAAGGTTTTAATTGACTCTTCATGGGTGGTACTCGAGTATTTGAATAGAGTCGATTGTCGCGATTGATCTCAACAGGAACCCGAGTTGGATAAGTAATCACGTTCAAACGTGACCCCGTTAACCTCATTATATTC